ATCAAAATCTATATTGTATCAAATCATGTGCGCACATTTATCATGATCATGAAAGGATTGTGAAAATATTTGTTGACATCGAGTTGTCGGTACACATGCTTTGCAAATCCTTCAATCAACCGAAATCTGCACAGCAGTTTATGAACTGGATGTCGATTTTGTTGCGTGATTTTGATTGCACTATGCATAGACTTGTTAGTCCAGCCAAAACATAATTCCAGCCTAGGTTGGCAAGGGTGGAAACTGGGGTTTTATAGTCAGTTAACTCCCTTGCCTCAGGAAGATGGCATGGCATGTGACCTGCACTCAGCTCCAGCAGCAAGTCGGGCTATTGTGCTGTGTTCCAGTCGTGTAAGACAAAAACTGGGCAAGTATACAAGTTGAACACGGTAATCTGTCTTTCTACACATGGCCTAGACTCGCACAAGTCTCTAAGGCAATAATTATTAGTTTAAATCATAATTTCTAGATCATGTAAATAAAAAGAACAAGTTGTCCTTATGTGCTGTCCACATCTAGACTTGCCTATGAGAATGATTAGGAGGATAGAATTACTACACATCCATGGACTTTTCTTTCAGAACAGCCTTGGAGCAAGGCTACACATGGCCAGTAGGTTTCTGTAGCAGGCTAATCTCCTGCCATAACAGCTACATGTATTATAGGATGAGGGTATGGGAGTTATTCACCGTGTTTACACAGCGTGGGCCATGTGTTGGATGTGCAGTGAGTGAAATGTAGAGTACACAAAGACTTCCCATTACACAGTCAATATGTACGTGATGAATAAGTATCTGTGTTAAGAGCTTCTCAAGTCTGGAAAAACACATTAATCATATATACACTGATGGTTTAGTGTAGACTAACATCTAGTCTCTGAAATAAATACATTTTACAGAGAAAAAATAGTTGTTAGATTATGTTAATAATATATAATAGAAAGGGCCAAGAGACTTTCTTCACTTTCAGCAAACTGCCGTATTCTAGACTTTCCAAATAATATACTGTATATCGCTGTGTATAAGGCAAATTTTTCGTACCTAGAATTAGGGGGCTTTCCAGGGTCATCTTATACACAGGGTTGAAGTGTTTTGATGTTTTTTTCCCAACCCAAAGACATTACAGCATTACTGTAAGCATGTAACACTGGAAATACCGAAATGTCAATAAATCCGTATAAGTGGCATTTTATATCTTGACTTATGTTTTTAATCTGTTTTATTAATTTTATTCAAAATTTTATTCAATATTGTGTGCATTTATTTCAGCAAAATCGTATGTGAGATGATCGGAAGATCGCACAACTCACCGTTATATAAAGCAACCACGGTCAAATTACCACTATTGACGCCTTGAAAAAAACTTTAGTGGATAGAGAATGTGTGTGATGTGGAAGACGAGGAATTACTAGACATGAAATCCTACATCCAGTACACATGAAATCCTACATCCAGTACACATGAAATCCTACATCCAATACGCATGAAATCCTACATCGAGTACACATGAAATCCTACACCCAATACACATGGAATCCTACATCCAAATACACATGAAATCCTACATCCTATACACTTGGAATCCTACATCCAATACACATGAAATCCTACATCCAATACACATGAAATACTACATCCAATACACATGAAATACTACATCCAATACACATGAACTACTACATCCAATACACATGAAATCCTACATCGAGTACACATGAAATACTGCATCCAATACACATGAAATACTACATCCAATACACATGAAATACTACATCCAATACACATGAAATCCTACATCGAGTACACATGAAATCCTACACCCAATACACATGGAATCCTACATCCAAATACACATGGAATCCTACATCCAATACACATGAAATCCTACATCCTATACACTTGGAATCCTACATCGAGTAAACATGAAATCCTACACCCAATACTCATTGAATCCTACATCCAATACACATGAAATCCTACATCCTATATACTTGGAATCCTACATCCAATACACATGAAATCCTACATCCAATACACATGAAATACTACATCCAATACACATGAAATCCTTCATCCAATACGCATGAAATCCTACATCGAGTACACATGAAATCCTACACCCAATACACATGGAATCCTACATCCAATACACATGAAATCCTACATCCTATACACTTGGAATCCTACATCGAGTAAACATGAAATCCTACACCCAATACTCATTGAATCCTACATCCAATACACATGAAATCCTACATCCTATATACTTGGAATCCTACATCCAATACACATGAAATCCTACATCCAATACACATGGAATCCTACATCCAATACACATGGAATCCTACATCCAATACACATGAAATCCTACATCCAATACACATGGAATCCTACATCCAATACACATGAAATCATACATCCTATACACTTGGAATCCTACATCCAATACACATGAAATCCTACATCCAATACACATAAAATTGTACGTCCAGTATACATGGAATCGTACATTGAGTACACATGAAATCCAACATCCAGTACACATGAAATCCAACATCCAGTCCCCATGAAATCCTACATCCAATACACAGGAATTCCTACATCCAATACACATGAATTCCTACATCCAATACACATGAATTCCTACATCCAATACACATGAATTCCTACATCCAATATACATGAATTCCTACATCCAATACTACATCCAATACACAGGAATTCCTACATCCAATACGCATGAAATCCTACATCGAGTACACATGAAATCCTACACCCAATACACATGGAATCCTACATCCAATACACATGAATTCCTACATCCAATACACATTAAATATTTGTAACGAATTCAAGAGAAATACAGTATGCATCTACTGCGGCGCATATTCAGTGATTTGGTACCGCGTAAGGTTAATTTCCATATATGTAACCATTTGAAAACTGGAAACAGCTGAGTCATCACCTGCTGATGTTTACATGTAGTCCAGGCATGGAGGTAGGCCTCAGGGCAGAAACATTCAGTTTCCATGTTTGATGGTGAGAGTGTTGAGACAGTGCTGCTGACAAGTTTAATGAGAACTGTTACATGCTCAGATCACTGCCTGAAGGTGGTGGATGCCGTGACAGCAGCTGTTACAGACTGTGAATATATTTACTGTTGTAGGCCGAGTTGTAGGATGCTACGGATTGGTTGATATTCTAAGAATTTAGTGATTGTCCTACATGCCTTGAAGATTATTTTCAAAATTGGGAATGATATAGATTATGTCTTGTCAGAGTTTGTTACAGTCAGGATGTTGTTCTCAGGAAACAAGGCTGGAAGGAAGGAAAGTGTAGTTGAAGAATATTGTCACTTGCTTCAAGACGGTAGTCATGGTGATAATATTGTCACTTGCTTCAAGACGGTAGTCATGGTGATAATATTGTCACTTGCTTAAGACGGTAGTCATGGTGATAATATTGTCACTTGTTTGAAAGTGTTAGTCATGGTGATAATATTGTCACTTGTTTGAAGGTGATAGTCATGATGATAATATTGTCACTTGTTTGAAAGTGGTAGTCATAATGATAATATTGTCACTTGTTTGAATGTGATAGTCATGATGATAATATTGTCACTTGTTTGAATGTAATAGTCATGATGACTTCTGTGAAGATTGTAAGAGATTCCATAAATATTTTAAGAGATTCTGTGAATATTTATAAGATTCCGAAGTCAGTGTCTCCTGCGTGGACATGACTGATGGGAGACCCCTGTGCTTGACAGCCAGCTGCGTATCCCTCACTGTACTCTGTCAAGCATCTACAGGAGGACAAGGTGGTTGTTGTTGTTGTTTGGGGGGTGATATAAACGAGACTTGACCTGAATGCTGCTGCATTGTGGGGCAGGTTACTCTACGGACACGGTCTTCCCACGTCTGTCGCCATGTCACGTCAGCTGGAACAAACCCCACTATCTGCTGTGGGAGACCCACCCAAGACAGGACTGTGACTCAGGCTGGATGGGACTTGGAGGAGATGAGGGAGGGGGAGGGGGAGGACAAGGTTTCGGGAGAGACTGGGTTTAAGTCTGCTGTGTTTTTTATCATGCTTTAGTTTCGGAAGAACAAGAGGAAGCTTGGTGGACAAACTTGATGTGGGGATGGATTGATGATGTGATGGTTGAAAGGATTGTTGACGTGATGGTTGAAAGGATTGATGACGTGATGGTTGAAAGGATTGATGATGTGATGGTTGAATGGATTGATGATGTGATGGTTGAAAGGATTGATGATGTGATGGTTGGATGGATTGATGATGTGATGGTTGAATTGATTGATGACGTGATGTTGGAAGGATTGATGATGTGATGGTTGAAAGGATTGATGACGTGATGGTTGAAAGGATTGATGATGTGATGGTTGAATGGATTGATGATGTGATTGTTGAATGGATTGATGATGTGATGGTTGAATGGATTGATGATGTAATGGTTGAAAGGTTTGATGATGTGATGGTTGAAAGGATTGATGATGTGATGGTTGAATGGATTGATGATGTGATGGTTGAATGGATTGATGACGTGATGTTGGAAGGATTGATGATGTGATGGTTGAAAGGATTGATGATGTGATGGTTGAAAGGATTGATGATGTGATGGTTGAATTGATTGAGTCTTAAGAACATGCCATAGGGGGGTAGTTCATGCTTGATTGAATTAAGGACCACTTGAACATTTGTGTTATGTCAAGAATCACTCTACTTCCATGAGTGGGTCTCAAGTCTTGCAGTCAGGCTGTGTCAAGTGATGGTGGCCGACTTTAACAGTGTTGAAACTAGACATAAGGACATATATCAAATTTGTTTAAGAAAATGATTGAGATGAATGTTATAAATACAGGCACGAGTATTCAGTCTACAGCTTGGGTTACCATGGTTCCAAAATATACAAAAATACCCAGTCATGAATAATATTGTTTGTGTTTACATTGTCTTGAGTTTTGTGTTTCTATGTTGCAGGTATACATCCGCGTCATGGGTTGGTGTGGACCGACGGCAAGGCCATCTTTCTTGCCCCAGTCCGGCTGTACGGCAATGACATCGAGAACGCCAAGTCACTCAAGCTCGGAGAATTTGAGTATGTGTGCTGTACTGACAATCTTATTGCAAACACAAGGATATTGTTTGAACTCAGGATATGAACATATTTTGCATGTAAAAGATGTATTTTTAGTTTCACCCACCATCTTGTAGACGTGGCCCCTGTACTCTTCCCAGTCTTAGTTCAAAGTAGAATAGGTCTTCAGCAACGCATTCTTGCCGTAAAAGGCGACTATTCTTGTTGTAAGAGGCGAGTAACAGGATCGGGTGGTCATCGTATCCCGATTGCGTGGATCAATGCTCATGATGTCAATCATTGGATTGTCTAGTTCAGGCATGATTATTTACAGACCGCCGTTATATAGCTGGAATATTGCTGAATGCGGTGTTAAACAACAAACAAACAAACCTCACAATCACTCACTCACTCACTCACTCACTCACTCACTCACTCACTCACTCACTCACTCACTCACTCACTCACTCACTCACTCACTCACTCACTCACTCACTCACATCAGACAGCTGTGACCTGAACCACACAACCATGACCTTCACCTCCCTGGCCTGTGTATTGTAATGGGAGCCAGCCACTACAGGGGAGGTGTGAATTCATTGAAGACGATGCGTTATTCCGCTCAAATACACCCTTTCACTTCATCAGCTGTTGGAATACTTAGAGACCTATATATCCGGTCGGTCCTGTGATCGGTGAAGCGTCCACATACTGTAACAGACTGTACGATTGTCACAGTTGTCGAGTACCCAGCATGCCGAGCGTCACACGGTGTAATCATCTTGTATGGTGATACACATGAGTCATGTACATCTTTGATAACGACGGTGTTCGTCTGTGTCGTCACTGTAGACACTCCATGGTGCAGTCATCCTGCACAAATAGCCCTGACTTTAAAAATGTTCATTGAAACTTTTAAAACTTTATTTGAACTTTCTTCAGAATAAATAGTTTTTCAAGCTGATCATTTATCTATGACCATCTTTAGCATATGTGTATGACTTCCTTTGTGGACATAGGCTTAATGCATATAGACTAAAGGGGAAGGCTTGTTTGTCTAGAATGACACGAAATATGTCTAGTGTGCCATTCATCCCGAGTATTTTGTATTAGGTCAGACTATGGTGGCTGTATGATCGTGACATCAGGCTACGGCTAACATGGTATCTGGACAAGGCATTTCCAATTTGCAGAAAATAGTCAAATATTGAAAGGCGATAAAGGTCAACCATATTGGTTTATTAATGATCTAGATGTTGCATAAGTGATTGTGTGACACATTGTCTCACACATTGTGTTAAAAGGGTAATAATGTATTGCTTGGTTTGTTTATTTTGTTTGTTTGTTTTAATGCCACACTATAACGCTGTGATTGACATGATGAGCATTGATATACACAATTGGGATATAATGACATGCATCAGCCAAGTCAGACAGCCTCTTTGTCGCCTCTTATGACAAGCATGGGATGCTTTAGTCCTATTGTAACCCGGATATTCATGGGTCAGTTGCTAGGTTGACATTCGTGGACAGTATACCTGGGATCCTGATTTCGTTTATGTTTGTTGTGATGGTGCTGTGTGAATGTGACAATCCTCCCACTCATTGGGCTGTGTGTCAGACCAATGGCTATGTAGTCTTTGATAGGCTTAGATCCATAAAAGGTCCATGTATTCATGATGGCTGTGTGATCATAAGTGAGTGAGTGAGTATGGTTTTACGCTGCTTTCAGCAATATCACGGCGGGTGACACCAGAAATGGGCTTCACACAATGTACACATGTCGGGAATCGAACCCGGGTCTTTGGCATGACAAGCCAACACTTTAACCACAAGGCTACCCGACTGTCCCATGTGATCGTAAGATTTACTGGGGCAAACATTTAAATCATTATTTCCGATTTGCTAAATGTTGAGAAAAACAAAGGAGAAAATGTTGAGAAATATATTGTCAGTCAAAAATTAAGGGGAAACAATTACGGCTCTGCCATCTGGGAGCAGTTTCCAGCCTCAGTCTAGACATGGCATTGAATTCCTTGTGGGAGCACACTGTCTGCCTCTGTGTATTGAGGGGAATTTATTTATTGCAAGGTGGACTGGGTTGACACCAACTGTTATTGTATTTGGAGAACTCATCATTTGCAGAAAACAGTCAAATGTTAGGAGACAAGGTTTAAACATCTTGGGTCAATTCCGATCTAGATTCTGCAATAAGTGATTGTGTGAAACGGACACATTGTCTGTGTGTGATGGCGGTCATTATTTATTGCTGGGTTGATCATGGAATTTGAGTGTGGACAAGTAAAGTGCTGTTTTAATGAGTCAAACATACTCAGGTAGAATGTACCTTGCCGTCCCACTTTTGATTTTCACAGCAAATGATATATTATGTGGCCATTGATGATGTGAACAGTGTTGTTTGTTAGTGATGGAGGGGACACGGTAGGACCTAGACTTGCACAAGTCTCTGAGGCAATAATTATTAGTTTAAATCATAATTTCGAGATTATGTAAAAAACAAGAACAAGTTGTCCCTATAAGAAACTGGAGTCCTATACATATCTATACTTGCCAATTAGGAGGATAGAAATACCACACGTCCATGGACGTTTCTTTCAGTACAGGGTGGCACGAGTGGCACAGGTGGCCCAGTCGTCTAAGGCGCTGTGATTCACTGTGCAAAGTTGCGCCCCCTGGGCATGCCAGAAACCTATGATTGTGGGTTTGAATCACAGTTCGCCCCGATTATGTTTCTAGGTTTGTCAGCACCGGGATCAGCACCGGGATCGTGGGTTTAACCAAAGCGGTAAACGTCTGAGACCTGCATCACTTTGGACTTTCCTCCCACATTAAGCTGACACACTGCGATATAACTGGAATATTAAGTAGACACAATTTTATGGATAACATCTTCTTTAATGCTGTAAAAAGTGACGTTTCGGTATAGATCCTTATACCATTGTCTGTCAGACTTGCTTGACACCGGTATAAGGATCTATACCGAAACGTTGCTTTTTACAGTATTAAAGAAGTTGTTATCCATAAAATTGTGTCTACCTTGTCATCCGTCAACTTCTAAGTAATGCCTATCAAACAATTTAACTGGAATACTGTTAAAAGCGGCGTTAAACCCAACTCACTCACTCACTCTTTCAGTACAGCCTAGATCGAGCTGATAAGGTTTCTAGGTTTATCAGCACCTTACATGTGCTTGTGGATTTCATCACTTTGCTTTTCCTTGGGTCAGACAGAATTTTGTTATTGAAGCAGTTCAAATAGATAGATAGATAGATAGATAGATAGATAGATAGATAGACAGATAGAATACACTGTGAAGCATCAGGTTGCATTTCATATAAAAGTAAAAAGTAAGTCCTGCTTAAATTCCATCCCGGTGTATATGATGTTATATGTACCCATACTGAATACAACAATTCTATATCTTTCCTTGACCACCCAGGCCGAGAAGATGGCTTTTTCTCAGCTTCACCATGGTCACCTGGGGCAGTTCATTGCAAGCTGGTCCTGATGAATTAGACCACGGTGCTTGATCTACCTTGACAGGCAATTAGGGGCTGTCAGTGTCTGAGCTGCTTGAGCCAGATGAGGATCAAGCTACCCTGTGTTTGTCTTGCCTTAAAAAGTGAACAATCAATATTCATCTTGTCAGTCTCCAGCCCTTTGCCTCATCTGCCCACCAAATGACAGGGAGCTGGTTGTGTCTACATTAAACAAATCTATTTGCCTGTTGTTGGGACCGGCATGCGAAATCTTTAAACAAACTCATTCAAGTTTACTTGTCCACTTTAAAATGTTTTGAGTAAAATATTTGAGAGTTCAGGTAACCGTGTTTCAGTTTTGTAAATTTGAGACAAAGAAATGGGTGAAGTTTGTAATAGAATGTGGTGGGGATTTGTGTTGAAGTTACAACCTTGCCATTCCTCTGAAGGACTGACTGACGCAGTAGACTGACTGGGAAGGGTACGGGGTTGTTTGTTGGACTGCAGAACCTGCTAGACATGCAGTTGTGTTTAAACATGCTGGAAATGAAATGGTTCAAGTTGATGACTGAGGGTGTTGGGGTCGGTTTACTCCATGCGAGACCTGGAACATGTCTGCAGGTACATAGCATTAGTCATCATCGGCCTTCACCTTGTACACATCATTTTACTGAAAGTCTTTTTAAAGGCTATGAGGACAATGTAGTTTTGTTTGTTGTTGCAGTCAGCAATATTCCAGCAATCTCACAGAACCTGCAAATGTTCAAATCTGCACCAGACAAACCAGTGATTGATATTATGAACAACAACTCGTTATTGTCAGGTATGAGGACACACAATCATCCAACCGAATGAGAAACTCGATTCATTTTAGTCGATCCTGATGACAGGCATTGGTTGCTGGGATCAGCTCTAACCCAGGTCCCCATTGCAGGCCCTGTAAGTTAACCACAAGAGACTACATGGTTAACGGACCACTCAAGTTGGGTTGCCATGACATAAGCTGACACCTTTTTCTCCTATGAAATATAACAGTATTTTGCAAGTCAAAATGTGTATACATTTTGTTTAAGCTTTTAGAAAAATACTTCCTGCACCAATTTAAACTTAAACACCCTGAGCGACGCCCCGTATGTGCCACATGCTGGCGCCCCCTGGGAGACATGCTGAGTGGCGCCCCCTGGGAGACATGCTGAGTGGCGCCCCCTATGCGCGACATGCTGTGTGGCGCCCCCTATGTGCAACATGCTGATTGCGCCCCCTATGTGCCACATGCTGAGTGGCGCCCCCTATGTGCCAAATTCTGAGTGGCGCCCCCTACATGCGGCATGCTGAGTGGCGCCCCCTGGGAGACATGCTGAGTGGCGCCCCCTATGCGCGACATGCTGTGTGGCGCTCCCTATGTGCAACATGCTGAGTGGTGCCCCCTATGTGCGACATGCTGAGTGGCGCCCCCTATGTGCCACATGCTGTGTGGCACCCCCTATGTGCGACATGCTGTGTGGCGCCCCCTATGCGCTA